ATAAAGCAGTGGCGTAGTATTTTTTTCGCCAAAAATATACATTTCAAAACTCGTACGTACGCCACTGGCAGAGAAAATTAAGAAAATTGTACATCAGAAAATGCGCCTTGAGGCATGGAACATATGTACCAAATATGCCAAAGATGTCTACAAAATTATCTCAGTTATTATTAAAAAACTGATTATTTTTGAAAACTTTGCCACCCTGTATCTCAAAAGTTAAGGCGTTTAGGACATTCGTCCATCGGACGTTTTTTCCTTAAAATAGGTCTAAGAATTACCTCCTTAAATATTAGCATGTGTTTAAGGAACACCCTGTATACACAGTGCCATCTTTAAAATCTTATTATCAACAGACAATAGGTACGGTACCAGATTGATGGTGCACCAATACACCAAGCTATTGCAGTAAAGCAATGATTTGATCAAATGTTCAGAAGTAAAGTTGTAGGACGCGATTAGAATTATTACAGGCTACCCCGATCATCTGATTCAATGGCATTGTTTTTTTCTGTTGGGTTATTTGATGCAGGAAGTACTGAAATGTAGGTAGCGAATCTTCAAAAGGTTTTTTTTGTGATGTACAGGCCGTTCTCTTTAGCTGCTCCTACTATTGCTATCTCGGAAACGGTAAGAACTGCAAGTTCAGTTGAATTGAACGAAAATTTTCTACTTTGGGGAAGTAGATTGATCACTATTCAGATCGAGAATATCAGTGGGTGTTTTTGTAATATTTTCCACTGTTTCATATTTGTTATAATCTGATATAATCCTAAGGTAAGGATGAATGACACTGAGCCTATCAGCTGTCTCTACGGAACCTTCGAGATACCAGGCGCCCTCTCGTCGTAGCATTGCCGTGTAGCGGTAACGTGTGATTGGCCTTCTTTCCCTAGCTACTCGTGGGACTTTTATGGATAGAGTGAAGAGCGAGAAGCTCGCTGATATTCATGTTTTTTCTTCGTTATATTAAATGGTCTTTGTTTACTTTTTTTAAAAAAGGCGGGATAAAAATCACATCCAGTCAATGCGTTAAATCCTGGCAAACTTCTACACAAAGACGGTCCCAAATTATCGTAAATTTTTGTTAAATTAATGTATCATTGGTTATTTCCAGTACCTGTGTATAACCACACATTTGAATCATCATTTTTTTAAATATGCATATGTCCCAACATAATTACCGCAATATCGGTATCGGAACATCTAATAACAAAATTTGCTTGAGCGTCTATATTACAGACATGATAAATGATTTTATACAGCTTCTTCATGTTCTGGACACGATAAATTGTCATCTACACTTGATACGACTGAATTATTTTCAACGAAGTAAGAATGACATTGTTTGAAATTTATATATATCAGTTTATTTTTGATAAATGGTACTATTTCATCAGATGCCTAATGTTGAATGAAGAAATCCACGAGAGCCTGTTTAAAATGGACGTTTTTTAATTCTTTCAACAAATCAGACGGTCTAACTTGATCGGGGCCAGCAATATTAAAATCGAATTGTGTAGATTCTTGGCGGAGAGATCCATAATCTTTAATCGAAGAAGAGAAGTATTGATTAAAAATAATGTCGTATCTTGTCGCTTTGAGTTGGGTCACCATTGGTAGCATTTTTTTCGAAATAGCTCCAAAAGTTTTTGGGACAACTTTTATGGTGTGTAGTAAAAAAAACCATCAATTAATAAAATATCTGTTCGATCAGGTGGATTGTGCTCTAAACCTTTTTCTAAGGACATCAAAATGGCACATGGATAACGGCACTGGACTAATAGAATGACATAGAATTTTGGCCATATCTACTTTAGGATCTATAGATATTCGAAGTATACGTCCAAAAAGATCTCTTTGAATCCGTACCTCTTGCACTTTACCACCTACTTCCGTTTTCTTTTTTCTTGAATAATCCAGTGTAAAGTTTTCCAGTGGTGTTTTCAAAATACTTTTTTTAAACCTGCTTATATCCAATTCACACTCTGAGATAAACGTTTAACGTTTAGCGTCACCATTTTTTTCAATATTGACCAAAAATTTCTCTAGGGACTTTACCCGGAACATGTTGATTAAAAGATCTTTTGACACTTGTGGGTCGAATGGATTTATGAATGCATCAAAAGTTTCGATAAATGTTTGCAACTGCTTAACATTAGTTTTTATAGCATGATTTGTGAGCTCGGCCGAAACGTCTTGCTCTTTTTGCAAACCTAAATCCTTGTAGACTGAACTGATTATTGTGGATCTGACATCATGGCTCCGGACCCAACGTTGACGTGCAGAAATTGAATTGGTGAAATGCATTATACCAGTGAGTTTCCTAGTTGTGTCAGCGTTTATTGTTTGTGTTTACGGGATGTTTGGTCATTGCAGTTTGTACTGATTAAATATAACATTGTTATCCTAATAACATATTAAAAAATAAATTAAGTTTATTTATTTTTCTTAGAGCTTCAACGCGTCTGATAAAAGTTTTGGCCCATGGAAAACATATATAAAAATCAGCCATACAAATTTAAGTTAAGTAACTCTGATTTTTAGTTACCTTTCTCACTTGGTACCTGCGCAGGTGTCACCGGGCAAGCTTCACAAACATTCAGGTATTAAAAAGTACACAAGAGACTATTGTGAACCGAAATTTACATGCTTTAGAAAATAAGTTGTGTCTTACGGCTCTTGGATCTTGGACTATTATACTCAAATGCCTATATTATCATTACATATCACGTGGTTTGAATCATTTGCATGTTCATATGGAAAGTATTCTTGCTCTTTCCCTGCCCATTTTTCCTGCACTATATTCCTATCACACTGAATGACTTACCAAGCAGCCACTGGACCAGCAAAGCAACTTTACACTCCTCTTAAATCTAACGATAGTTCGGAACTTTTTTGCAGACGCGCCAGCTGAATCTAGGAGAATGCCTTCCGAAGTCCTGCGGTGTAGCGGGCGTCCGCGGACTCCTTGCACAGGAACGCAATCAAGCGGCATCAGTAAACATTGTGGGTGTGAGGATGGTCCCTGGGGAGTACTCGTTGCTGTCTGATTTCAAAGTTCATCTCGTCGGGTGAGTATTTGCGAGCTCCGGGTATGTTGGGAACGTTGTTAACGTTTTACCTCTCGATGTTTGCTGTAGCAAAGCGGATGATTTGAAGTTTCGGGGGAATTGTGTTTGGGAATATAAATCGATCTGGCTCGGCTCTTATAGGGGTTGCGGATTTCAAATAGAAACGCGTCCAGAACTTGCCACCGTATGTTTATTTCCGATGAGAATAAACAAAATGAAATTTTTGATGCATATTTCGATTTTGTTGTACAAAGAAAATATGGATATGGAATGAGTTGGTTGAGTACAGAATATTTTCTTTAAATTGAAAACAAAATGATACGAAGGCTTAGAAGGCCTATACAGTGTGTAAAAGCAAAATGGAATAAATTCATTATTTCATATTTTAACAAAATGCTGAAACACGTCAAATTTAAATTATAATTTGACATAGTTCAACGAAAAAATGCTACCCTTATCTTCAACCCCCGTCGGTTGACAGGTACAACCTCCAAGTTTTTAAATGAGAAGTATAGGCTTGTGATATATCGTTTGAGAGGTATCTCCATTCTCTATTCAAAAATGTTATCGCTTTTAAGTTTATTGCAACAATTTAAATAATATAAATTACAATCATGTGGTTACCGAATTTCGATAAAATACATTCAACACTTATCGCAATATACTCGAAACTTATTTCATGTTGAGGTATTGAGAATAAGAAAGTAAGCAAAAACCATAGCAATGTTTTTTTCAGATGATATCCTTTAAAAAACTGTTAAGAAATTTCGTGGCAACTTTAGTTTAAAACGCCTTGTTAACTTATTTTGCATGTTACAATATTAATTGTCAGTATTTTAATTCAAGGATGAAGTTTGTTAACTTCAAGTCTGACAAATGGTTAGATTAAGAGAAATGCATGACAGTTTTACAAATGATTGGTAACGGAGATAAAACCCAAGCGCAATAGGAAGTAGCCCGCCTATTTCGTGAGAAATTTCCTAATTTACCGCCCATATCTCAAGAAACAATAAGCAAAATAGAGAAACAATTTCGCTAGCTCGGAGATGTGGAGCAGATAAAAGAAGCATTTGCCAATGCAATGAGTATTGAACTCAAATTAGATATGATGCTTGAGTTTGAGGAAAACCCACATACATCGAGTAGACATGCATCCACTTCATTCAATGTAAGCCATACATCGAAAGTAAACATACTGAAAGAAAATAAAATGCATCCCTAAAAAATGATACGTACTCAGGAGCTTATGGAAAACGATTTTGATAGAAATAACTAGAGTTATTTGAGAATGGTCTAACAAACCGAAATCGTGCGTGACAAATAATTAACTTAGTAGAAATTTGACAAAAGTAATTTTTTTTATTCTATATTCACTTGACTTGTCTCTTTCATGACGAAATTATGATAAAAACACCACCGAAATAATCTACAAGAAGTGTTAATAAAAATTAGAAGCATCTGGCAGAAGCCAGACTCTAAAACGGTTCCGTATTCCAAAATTAGATGAATCATCAACAACTGACATTTGTGAGAAACTTTGAAGGGAAGTTCTCTTGCGATTCATATAAAACAACACAAGTGAGTTGTGACGACACTATATTTCATACATTTGGAAAAATCACCCTTTTTTCAAAACGAACTGTTCACAAGTGCAGTTTCTGATTGAATTTTATTGTCAGAACAGTTTGCTAATCTGCTACACTGGCAATACAACCAAACACTTTACCTGAAACTTCCAACTAATATTCCAATGTCTACTGACTAATTAGAACATTCCGCACCGCACTGTCCACTAGACGATACTCACGCGATACGTAAATGTATAGGGTTTATATATGCCAATGAAAGTCCTAGGAGGCCGGTAGAACTATTCTCGAAGCGACGCGACACCTAGGACGATAGCGAAGTGCTAGTCAAGTTGAGCGCAATTTTGGCTACGTCACAATTGATTAACGACGACCAGCAGCGGCCGGCATTATTTTTTTTCAGGGGATGATTTACAACGATAGTTTTATAAATCTTTATTGTTTTGCAACATAGTAAGAAGTAAGTTGTAAATTAACAAAAATTGACTCCAAATGCCATTTTCAATATAAATTTCTTGAATGAATTTTGATGTTGTACATAGTTTTGAAATAATATGAAAGCCATATATGAGAATATTTTCAGGCATATGTAGTATTCCTTATAGTCATGTCAGACCTGAGCTGTGTTCAAATATAGCATTCCATATTATTTCCGATTCTACAGGAAATTTTGACATCATACATCAATCATGATATTTTCAAAATTCGGGGACAGTGTTGCCATTTTCTTTGAAAGTATCCAATTCTCAGAAACACAGTTCATGAAGGTATTTTGAGGGCATCTCACTTTATATGTCATCATATGTCTGGTCTGGTTTTCAATCACCAGAAACAGTTCTGGAAGCGAATTAGAACAGGCTTCATTTTATTTGACAGAGAGAAGATATTCGTTTCCAGACTGACACTTTCTACTATCTAGAACATTTTTGAATATCACCCATCTAAAATTAAGTTAGTGAATGGATTAGGAAGTTACTTTCAGAAACAACTCGAATGTATTACTCATAACGTGACATAACAGCTGTTACAGACCTGAACCAGGCCTGATTTTAGGCTGTCAAGTCAGTTGGATGATATTTCGTACATTTTTTATTATGTTGAATTTGTTACGATCATTAATTGTAAATATTGTGGAATAAAGGTTTGTTTTTTTACTTCAATTCATGATTTCATCAGACTGTATTTCAGTTGTCGAGGAACTACTGACAGGCTGAGATTATTTGATGAACTTAAAAAGAGACTTACCCCAATAAGAAATAGACTTCCAACAGATACAAATTTCCAATATCGAATTGGATCCGTGACAGAAATAACATGGTGAAGAGAAGTTTGTTTTACAAACCTCAAATCTTGGGCGAAGCCTCCTCACACTGCGAACATTGATTAATGTGTCATGAACTTTAAGAAACCATAGGATCGGGCGATAGGATGTTTAGAGAGACTGCAAGTACACTGCAGTAGGCGAACCCATACACCATGTTCCAAAAACAATATTAGTACTACCAGAAACAAGAAATCATTATTTGATGTAAATAAAATTACAAGAAATTGTGCCACCATTGTGGAATGAGATGAAAAGAGCAGTGTGGAAGATCATGTTCAATGAAGTTGGTTCGAAGTTTGCTCATCAATGGAGTTTCACCTGGTTAGCAACAAGTTTCCAGACACGGTATGATTGCTAATGCTTAATGTGGTCATTAGTGCCTATGACTACGAGATGGCCCAATGTATTTCAAAAGGAACAGCTCAGAGTGAGTTAGTATACAAATTGGTCTCATCAAGAGCATACGACAAAGATGTGCAGGAACAAGTCCATATAAGTTGAAGACAAAGATCTTTGACATTGAAAGGATACCGGCACGTATTTGAGAAGGCCACTGAGTCGTGACAATGAGGAATGGTGTGAATTATGTTAAAGGTCCAGTGACGGGAAGTTGAAGAAAAATGAACATTGTTTCGTGACATAAACAGAAAAATACCTTTTGGTCAAGAAGACAAATATTGAAATCTGCACCCCGTAAATATCGATGTGTCCTTTAATCAAGGTTGGTTGTGATATTTGAGTCTTCAATCACTGCAGGACTCTTTTCTGGAGCTAGCAGCGGAGAGCTATTTCAGCAATATTCCGAAGAAGGTCTAATTTGAATTTTATGAGGCATTGGAAGTGACAAATATTCATAATTTTGGGTTTCTATCAGCTTCTTACTTTGTTATTCTTGAAGAAAGCTGTGGAGTCACGAACGAAGATGATTTGATGAGTCATATTATCAAAGAATAATTTGTTAACCCCCTTGTCAGATGCAATAGTATGTATTGTTCCTAGTTGTATTATTTTTAATGTGGATAACATATAGGATGAGTTTATCTGTTTTCTCCATCATTTTCCATGACACTAATAGTGAAGTGTTCTGTTTGGATACAGATGGAATTCAAATGGCCCTCTACACTGAGGTTGAGCAATTCTCCAGATTGAAGAGAAGAACCATGTTATGAGCTGCACATGGGGTCAACAAAATCGACAATGAGTCATTCAAGCGAAGTAAAGGGTGTTTTTTTATAGAAGTTTAGAAATTTGAAATGAAATTAAACAAAGATGAATTTTTGAATTGACATAAAATTCACTTTATTCTTCTGGCATTATAAATTGAATGTGACTTCTGGCATATGACCGCCACGGCTGGCTCGGACGTAGTCTAATCTGGAGGTCAAACTTTCCATGACTGTGGCCGTATATCGGCAATAACGCGGCTAATTTTGTCCTTCAAGTGGTCAATCGTTTCATGCTTATCGGCATAGACTAGCGACTTCAAACATCCTCACAGAAAATAGTCTAGTGGTGTTAAATCGCACGATCTCGGAGGCCAATTCACGGGTTCCAAACGTGAAACCATGCGTTTACTAAACGTTTCCTTCAATGAATTAATTGTGGCAAGAGCTGTGTGTCATGTTGCGCCATCTTGTGGAAACCACAGCTCCTGCACATCATGGTTGTTCAATTTATGAACGAAATAGACAGTAATTATGGCTCCATACTTCTGAAGAAATACGAACTAATGATACCAAATAGTCAGTTTTTCTGGATGTAACGGTGTCTCAATCTACACTTGAGGATTATCATAACTCCAAATACGGCAATTTTTGTTTATTGACGTATCCACAAAATAAAATTCGCGTATGAAAATCGGGATCAACGGCAATCTTGGTTTGGGCCCATTCACAGATGCTACGTCCTAGCTAGGTGATCGTGTAGCTTCAATTCTTGCACGAGTTGGATTTTGTAAGCACGCGAACCAAGATCTTTCCGCAAAATCTTTCATGAAGTGGATGGACACATATCCAATTTCTGTGCACGATGGCGGATAGACTCATTAGGGTCTTCCTCTATGCAATGCTCACCAGCAGCAATGACTTCTT